AATTCATTCATACACAATAATTAATGAGTAATACCTTCTTATTCTATGTAACATGTGATGCATTAATGTGCAGTAGTGACTTTTCTAAAACTACTTGTTGCTAAGTCAATTTTCTTCAAAAGACATACGATTACAAGTGAACTAGAATTTGGACATATTTATTTGAATAGCCTAGCAACATCTCGTTTACTTTCAATTATAATGAAGTACACCAACCGTATTGATTATTCTCATGTGATAATGACAGATTGTATGTTTAATTAATGTATGTGTGTGTGTGAGTGTATCTATGTTCTAATTCGGTTTGTTATTCCCAAGATTGCGACTAAAACTACTAAATGTACGATTTTACGAGTTGATCACGGATTGATATCAGTTAGAGAACACTTGAAAAGCACCATGGAGTACTGGACGGCTGTTCCATCCTAGGTTGGGAATCATCAGCAACTGGCGTTCGGACCCAAGACCTTCCGGTTACAACGCAAGCTCGTTTACAATTCAGCCATCACTGGGACCCAACTCCTCAATGACCAGCCCATGAATTCTAACTTCTACCAATTCGTGATTTAGCGCGACTGGCACCAACCAATGTCATCGGTAGGACATCAGTCCTCATACTTGACCGGACGGGCCTCACTGGTCAAGACTTCTCACTAGAACACCAGGAGACTAGTGGTGGTGGTGGTCGCCCTAAATCACGAATTGGTAGAACTCAGAATTCATGAGCTGGACATTGAATCGGGTCCCAGTGGCTGAATGGTATTCAAGCTAGCTTGCCTTGTAACTGGAAGGTCCTGGGTTCGAACCCTGGAAGTGGGTGCGTACTGCTGATGACTCCCAAACTAGGATGAGAGAGCTCTCCAGTACTACGGTGTTGGTTTTCAATGGCTCTCTAACTGATATCAATCTGTGATCAACTCGTAAAAACAGAACTAATCCTTACAAACTAACTATAGAAAATGTACTGTAAATATCTCAATCTGAGGATTATAAAAACTAAGTACATTGTGGTCTGACACTACTATATGCTGGCTGCCTGAATTTCAATTATCCTTATAATACAAAATTACTAATACTACTACTACTATGGTGGTGTGATACAGACAGTGTGTGCCAACGGAATATTATTCTCACAAATTCCCACAGTTCAATACTGCATTAGCAACAGAATACTATTGTAGTCAGCAATTTACGACCTGAATCGAGGTCATGAGAAAAAAAACATGAACAAAGCTTAACCTTGAGGAACTCAACAACCAATCACAGCAGATTCTGCGTGGGCGGATACGATTAGCATATATATCACCGGACTGTCTAAGAAGCGGTCACAAGCAGTACAGAATAAACTTCAGCAAATAAAACCAATCAGAAGGCGTTGCTTCTCTGCTAACAATATCGAATGATCATGTACGTAAAAATCTATAAATATCTGTTGACTTTCTCAATAAACGATCTGTTGCCTGCCTCTAGTCTTCTATCATTACACTACGTGTATTGGAACATTCTATTTGATGTCGTTTAATGTAAACCAAAATCACACACTCAGTGATTGGTTAAAGAATATACACTATATATATATATATATATATATATATATATATATATATATATATATATAATTTGATCAACTGGAAGTATGCCTTGGCTTCCATGTCTTGCCTTCTGTAGTTACATTTGGTGTCGCTGCCTGCCGACAAATGAAGACCCTATGCCCTGCAGTTTTTGAAGGAGACATATGGATCTTCTTGCAGAACTTCAAGGCTGTTGCGGAGTTGAATGGCGTTCAAGATCCATTAGCGAAGAGGCTATTACTCTGAACGCTGCTGAGAGGTCGGGCGAAGGCAGAATATGATAGTGTGAGGTGAAACGCCGGTGAATACGCACCAGGGTCATGCAAACTGCTCCCAAAGTGAGAAGGACCATACACGGTCACTGCAAGATGGCGTCACGTACATACCACCAGGAATGCACACAAAGAGAAGCGGGTGAACGTCGGCGAGCTCCGAAACTGGATACAGCAAGACAAGCAGACAAAGACGCCAGCATCAAGAAGACCGAACCGACTTCAGTCGAAAGTATTTGACGGAGGGACAAGTGTGGTGGTGTAGTACAGAAAATGTGTTCCACATATTCCCACAATTCAATACTGCATTAGCAACTGAATACTATGTATATTTGAAAATTTTATTTCATGTTGTTTAATGTAAACCAAAATCACACACTCAGTGATTGGTTAAAGAATATAAACTGTATATATAATATAAATACCGGTTTGATAGACTGAAAATATGCCTTGGCTTCCGTGTCTTGCCTTGTGCTGTTACACTAATACTACTACAGTCTGTGTAGTTCTTGTATGGTTCTGGATATAAGGTCGAGTTACTACTAATTCAGAAGAGAAATTAATGCTTAATTCGATTATATAAAAACAATAAACTTAGCTACTATCATTACTGTAATCCCAGATACAATATTTTACATAAATAGATAGACACAAATGTAGGTGGAGGGTGGATAATAAAGTCCAAAAATAATCAGCCAATTAAATTAAGCCCTAATGTCAACAACAAACTGAAATCTACCAATTACAGTACGTGTAAATCAGCCTAAATGTGCGTAGGCGTCACGGTTGTAGCAGTCTAGTGTAGAAAACTTATACGCTCTCTGATTGGTAGATGTCAAGGAGAAAAGAAACTTAATAACAAAGATACCTTTTAGGTTGCAGATATCCAAAAGAAGACCTTTTCTGTGGCAATCAATACCCACACATTGAATAAAAATCTACCAAGGGAAGTGTTTTCCCCAGCTCCCTTGTATCGCAGTAGCGCCCATCACATCCATCAGAAAGCCACGGAAACTAGTCCTACCTCTACATTTCCATAGATCTAGTTGCATTTGGCTCCCTAGTTGTCATTTATTTTCATCCCCTTCATTTTTCCATCTACAGTTATAAAAAAACCTATTATGACAGTATGTTTCTACACGCACCTGTTTTCATCAAAACAAACTATTTCACATACTCCACAACAACTGTCTTCTAATTTTGTTTCAAAAAGCCCTTGTGGTCTATATTATTCCACACATGTGACTGACTGGTTTCAAAATAGGACTTTGAGCAGAAATGCGGCAATTCGAGTTGCCTCACTGCAAGTAGCACACAAAGTAGAGGAAAGAACAATAATAAGCAGGAATGCGAGGGAAAAAGAATAGCAACATGGAAAAGCATAAGGGTTGATTGGATATGAAAGACCATAAGAGAGAGGATGCATCTGCGCCAGCCATCACTGAGAACGATTTCGAGCCATATCACCAATTGTCTCTAGCCAGTGGTTCTTAGCACCTCGAAGACCGCAATCGGAAAGCCTACACCACCCTACGTGGCTGTTTCGAACCAACAGTCGATGATTTCATGGAATGATGCCAAATTTCAGTTTGACCATGCCATTGACTCTTTTCCAACCTGATCCTATTATCTCAGCTAATATTGCTCGATGAGGCGGCCGATGGTTCGGGATGCGCAACACCTGTCCTAACTACCTTATTCGGCGACGTAGTTCCACAACCGCATCTACTGACTTGTCCTCCATATTTAACACTGTGCAGGTAACCTCAATATAACTCACCATATTTTACAACTTACCACGGAAGATAAAACGTAAATATTTGTGGTCGAATACAGCTAGCCTTTTCAAATAACCCGCTTTCAATAGCCATAGCTTTTAGATAAAAAAGAGGACAAAGCGAACTGCTGAGCAGCATACATGCCCTCTGGTATATAACAGTATAGCATGTCTAGGCCAGAGACAGCGTCAGTTGGCGATTGCCAAATGAGCCTTTTTATATACCTGGCGAGATGCCGTCAGCAACCAGCTGTCCATTAGAGTTAATACAACTTCCTAAGTAAATGACGTTGTCAACACACTCTACCACTTCACAAGCTATCCTCAAACCATAGGAGTCAACCTACTTATCCTGTAGCATCGTCTTACATTGGACAAATGGAGCGAATCGCATGCCAAACATCCGAAGATTGCTACCTGCTCAAGATGTTCAGAAGACTCTGCATTCTTCACCTAGGTGGTCAATATCAATTCCAAAATCGCTGAAGTCTGTTGGAATTAATTCGATTTGTACAACTGTAATGAAATTAAACAGAAATGAGGACAATGGACATCCCTTTAGATGTGACAGCTTTCCGTAAGCTTTTGCACAACTGCTTCAGTTACAGTGGTGTGATTTATTTTCTCATCTCTCCCTACACAGCAAAACGTCACTATAGTGTATCTCTCGATCGAAGGAAATGTAAACTTATGTATGAAAAAATGAGACTGTGTACAACTGCTGCTTTTCATGGTCGTCAGGGGAAATACCCACATACTTATGTGCACGCACAGTGAATGAAGAAGAATGAGAGAACCCACAATGTCACTGGCTTAAACTGTCAAACTGGTGCTATAAAGCTGTTCACACAAGATAACTAAGATAAAATAATAATAAAAGTAATAATTTGATGTCCGCTAGTGACTAGCTAAAAGGACGAAATTGTCTCAAGTTCTAGTGAGAAGTCGTAACCAACAGGGTTCACACGCAGTCAGTCGGCTGGGATGACAAATACTCGCCAACGATGACGCTGGTTGGTGCCTGTCAGTCACACTAACTAAACTCACGAACTGGTAGAAGTTGGAATTCATCGGCCAGTAGACCTGGGATCCCACCGGCTAAATGATCCACCAGCCAGCTAGCTAGCTCACCTTGTAACCGGAAGGTCTCCAGGTTCGAACCCTGATGTGTGCATACTGATGAAGTGCCCAAAAACTAGGACGAAACAATTATCCGGTATAACGCCCCTCACCCCGCTGATTTCCAATCGTTCTCTAACCGATGTCAGCTTGTGATAATAATAACAATGGCAATTTCAAAGTATAAACATGCAAAACAATGTATACGTATATATATATTTATATATAAATAAACATATTATATAAAAATGATATTAATGACCATGGTGATAAAGTTCCAAATGATGAAAAGTAATGAAGCGTGGTAGTGATGGGGGAGGTGTGTGTTTGTGTGAATAAGCCATGAGTTAATTATTAATATTAGTATTATTATTATTATTATCAGAGGGGATAGACAGGAATCAGAAAAAGCCAACCGGATTTAAACATAATAATAGTAATAGTAATAATAACAACAATATGAAGATATATATATAATTCACGGTTAGAAGGAGAAAAACAGTACAATGTAGACTGGTCATTTTATACGGATGTATATATATACACATGCACGGCGCATAACAGAAGAATCCTCCTTCTGCTAAGACAACGGCAACAAGAACATCAGCAACAGCAACAACGACATCAACTAACAACAAACGATACAGAACTGTACACAGACATACAAATAATAAACATTGCAAAACAGGATCCTGCATGGCATGAAGGTTTGTTTTCCCATTATCAGTCTCTCTCTCCCGTACAACATCAATATTCAAGGAATACTCGACTTTGTGAAGGGTCTACAATGAGAGTGAGAAAAGAAAAGAGGAGTTAGGGATTAAAGTTAGAAGTTTAAAATTTTTCAAAAGTAACGTGTATTTAACTTATAACTTCTTTGTGTAGTTAAGTGTCTATGGGGTATGGTGAGGAAAGAGACAAGTCAACACAAATATTGGTTGTACAGCTTAAGTACAAGTATTCTCCATCGATTGAAGAATGCACCACAGTATCGTGTCAGTCACCTTGGTAACCTGATTTGACTAGCTTCAAGGCAGGACTCTGTACAGATGTGCACCAGTTCGAGTTGCCACTCTCCCACACAAAGCAAGAGAAGAGAGTAATGGGAGGTTCAAAACAGAGAGCGATAATAAACAGAAGTGTGAGTAATAGAAAAAGAGTAGCAATATGGAAGAACAATGGAGTTTTATTGGATATTATAAAACACAAAGAGTGAATACATCTGCGCCAACCATCACTGAGAAAGGTTTTCAGCCATATCACCAATTATCTCTAACCTTCATTTACCATCCGGAGGACCCCAACCAGACAGCAGTCAGTCTACACCTCCCGACGTGATTGACTCGCTTAACTAACTGTTGTGGATTTTATTGACTGATGAAGCCATATTTTGGTCTGACCACCAATAGCTAACTGTTTTCTAGCTTGATCCATCCTATGTCAGTGGCTAACACTGCCCATCGCCGAGAAAGGTGATGGATAGCTAGGCATGAGTAACAACTTATGTCCTAGCCATCTCAATCCTGATCGATGATCTTGACGAATGATTATGCATCGGTCGTGGTTTAGTGGTAGAATGCTCGAGCAGCCACGCACATAGTGCGGATTTGATTCCCGGCCGACTTCAGTCATACACCTCACCTAGTTTACTACCTCATAGGAAGGCTAGAGAAGAGGGAAGATTAGGTGTGGGACTAGGAACTCCACCCCGTAAAAACATCACCAATGGCTGACTACAACGACTTCAAAGCTTGCCGCCCTGTGCTCTACTCGAAATGCTTACTATCCAATGACTTTATCCGAATAGAACCTATTTTAGGAAAATTAAGAAATTAGTTATTTTTTGCTGTCGTTACACAGTTAAAATAATATACAAATGTTGAAATACCTATGCGATAAGTTCCAGAAGATTTTCGAGTTTAAAAGTTATGCAAAAGTACGTAACAAGACATAATCGTGATTGACGGTTTACACACATACTTCTAGATTAGCACAATATTCGAGTTTGCATTCCAGGAAATATCTATTTGAAGTACACTGACCGACCACATGTTTGGATTTACAACATTCAATATACACTAAGTGCTACAAGAGTCATTAGAGCGGCTTCCATACAGCTCGCTAGCCGTGGCCGTTGGACTGTGTGGAGAAGCAGAGCAGTAGTCACAGCTTATGGTGTAGCGCTGTAGGATAGCTGTTACGTTAGCATCAGTTGAGGTATCACACCTACCTCGGTGGAATCTGAGAGATAATTCCAATCAATAGGGTTTGAAATGTTATCAGACATACCCAAAAATCGTAATCACTCGAGGTGTTTGCTAGAATCACTAGCATCACGCACCCCAGCTTCTCCCTTTACCGATGGTACACTATCGACTAAGTGGGAGTTAAGGTTACGCCGGTTGGGAATTGAACCTGGTCTTCCTTCGTGGTTGGCAAGCATTCCCACCACTGAGCCTCACGCAGTGCGTGCCAGCTGGGATAACTTAAGCCTAAATTCCATGAAATGTCTATTTGAAGTACACTGATCGGTATGCCTGAATTTACAATTTTACATATGCTTAGATAAAATAAGGTATATGCTAACATCGGAGATTTGCCAAGGGCTAAGTAAGAGATGTGTACTACGAATGTCCCAGGACCAGAAAACTGGGGGGGTGGTCAGTGGCGTATGACTTGGTGTCATGGGGATAGTTTGTGTTAGGTTAATACACAGTTGGTCCATGACGAATCCTAAGGTGGAGTTTGAAAAACAGTTCCCATTGGCGACTGTGGATGTTATCAGATATCACTGAGAACTGTAACCAGTGGCAAATATGCTGGAATTTATCGTTTATTCTCCTACCGAGAGAGTAATATGTGAAGTGATGACGCATCCCTTTTGAGAATGAATTTTTACAAGTATGCTTCGATGATCCTAGTTTATTCTATTCCTATTTTTCCCCTCATATAATGTTTTTCTATAATTTTTTATGTTTTAACCACTATAGGTAGGGTAGTAGTGATAGTAAACACGATGACCTCATTTCCCTATTCAACTTAAATGATTATAAAAACTCTGTAGATTTTCTGTGGCTGTCCGATTGATTGACTTACTTTAATGATGCTGACGGTACACGACAACCGAATACTACCACAGGGATGGAATTGTCCAGATGGAATTGATGACCTTAATTGAAAAACAAAAGGCAAAATTAGTAAACAAAGAGTTATAATCATATATGTAATTATATTTATATATTTTCTTTTTCTATAGTTTGGTTTGTAAGGATTAGTTTTTTGTTTTTACGAATTGATCACGGATTGTTATCAGTAAGAGAACAATTGAAAACCAGACACAGGGAGTACTGGACAGCCAGCTGTTTCATCCTAGTTTGGGAATCATCGGCAGTACGTACCCACCCCCAGGGTCCGAACCCAGGACCTTCCGGTTACAAGGCAAGTGAGCTCGTATACCATTCAGCCACTGGGACCCGATTCAATGGCCAGACCATGAATTCTAACTTCTACTAATTCGTGATTTAGTGCGACAACCAACCAATGTCATCGGTGGGACATCCATCCTCACACGTGACATCTGGTTGGACCTCACTGGTCACAACTTCTCACTAGAACTCCAGGAAATTCCATCCTGTAGCTAGTCACTAGCGAGCATCAGATTAATTTTCTAAAAACATAACTAACCCTTACAAACCAAACTATAGAAAACATATCTATTGTCCGAACTTTTTCGGATGGAGAGTGGTTCGAGCCTGTGATCATCCAGTGGGAATCAAAGTGACCAGACTAAACAATTACAGCTCAAAACTGCATACATTTGTTGTTACAATCAATTTTGAGCCACCTGTCTCATCAAGGGTTACCAAGCACCACCACCACCAGCTAGGCAATCTGTACAGCCTCACTAACATATACATAGTACCTCTGTATGTACACATTAAGCCATACAAAAATTCCAAGATATTGACTAAAAATATGACATCATGCAAACAAAATAAAATTATATGGTACGCAGGTAAACGATCAACCACGTTCCAATAGCTCTCCAGCTGATATCAGGTCGTAATGAAACCGGTAGGTAACCAATCAAATCCCTGCAAACCAACACTCGATAATTAATCTGATGCTCCCTACACAGGAAGTTACATAGAGTTCTAGTGAGAAGTCACGTGACCAGTGGGGTCCACCAAGATACAGTTACTAGGCGAAGACATTGGATGACGGTAGAAGTTGGAATTCATAGGTCAGTGGATCGGGTCCCAGTAGCTGAATCATATTAAAGAGCTTGTCTTTTAACCAGAAGGTCCCAAAAAGTTAGAACCTGAGGGGGAGGGGAGGGCATACTGATGAAAAGTTTCAAACTAGGACGAAACATCTGTTCAGTACTTCCTGGTTTTCCAGCGGTCCGCTAACTGACGATCAAAAAACTCCCATCTCCCATCGTATCATCTCAAGAGAAGCCGATAAATTAAAACACTCAGGTAAACGGATATTATCAAGTTCCTTACAGACTGAAAATCACATTAGGCGTTAGGGAAAGTCATTATAATAAATTTGCATTCAATCATGTTTGTTTCTTCGCTTCACTTCATAAACTAGTGATCTTGACATATTTTAAATGCAAAACAGTTCTGATGGATTCATAGGTTTCCATACGAGTACGACAATCTCTACGGTTGAAAACAAACCACCCAGCCACCCACCCCCACCTAGATCATCACATGAGGCTATAGTAGTCTTACACAAAAATGATTAAATGACAAGTTTGATGAACCTAGGTTTTATACTAGTTGGCACTCGTCAGCAGGGCGTATCTGCAATCTTGAAGCTCAATGGTAACGTCTCTGACTACAGTACTCACTCACTGGGTGACTCGGGTTCGAATCTCGGAAGGGACATGAGTTCCTTTTAGGCAGTTGCAGATACGCCTTTCTGACTGATGAGAGCCAACTAGCATGAAACCTAGGTCCAAGGCTTCCTGCCGGTTGCCTCCAACCATCTAATATCATCAAATCAACGTGCACCGTGATGGCGAGCTGCCTAGTGGCATGGTGGCCACATTGCAAACTTGACTGACTGATGGAATTCAGTCTGCACCAAAGAAAGGACTAGACACATAACACTAGTTGCTAGTGTTCAATCAAATGACAAGTTTGTTATTCCAATTAAACCTAAATTGGGAAGCAGAGTAAATATCATTGAATATACACATACACAAATATATGTAGGAAATGTTCTCACCTTGCTTGAATGTATAACTCAACTGAGTTGGCATTCGACTAGCTGGATTAAACTTCAACAATGGATCTAAACGACCTGATTGTCTTTTGTGCTGAAAGAGATCAAGGAAATAAAAGTAGTGAGAAAAAAATGAATTTTTCTCCTAAGAAAATGATTGTTTCGTTTTTCTTGAAGATTAAAAACTCTAATATGTCTAGAGCTGTACAGTGCTGCTAGGGAAATGAATTCGATGTAACACACTCCTACAAATGTTCACGAATTAAGTATATAGTTATCAAATATTGTATGAACAGTGCTGATTTATTATTATTATTCCCTTGGGTTCCGAGTGGAATATAGGGCTTCAACAACACATCTCCACTCTGTTCTATTCTCTGCCGTCCTTTTCATCTGGGTGCCACGACTGCCCATAATTTCTCAACCATCTTATCAACCTTATTCTCAACCACTCAACAGCCTGGCTTGGTGTGTGTGATCTCACTCAACAACAGTCTCCTCAGAATATGTCCGACCTGTCTCTATCTTCTTCAGAATACTTGTTGGGTGGGTAATAAAGTTCTCGGTCGGTGTTAGTTGTCTGCCAGAGTTTCTTGTTCGTGATTTTTCTCAGCCACCTGATCTTATGTAGTGTTTTTAAGGATTCAACATAGAACTTGGCACCGAAGTGCAGCAGTTCGAGTTGCCACGTTCCAAATACCACACAAAGGTAGACAAGAAAATGAGAGAAGAGAATCAATAGAATTTAGATAAGTATAAGAGTGAAACAGAATGAGTAATGGTAGAAAGGAATATGAAAGATTACAGAGACTGAATACATCTGCGCCACTGACAACGATTTTGAGCCATGTCACCTAGTGTCTCCAGCCATTGATTCTTAGAGTCCCGAGGGCCCCAACCCGGAAGTCTGCATCTCCCTACCTGACTCAGTTTAACTGTCAGGGATTTCATGGATTGATGCCATGTTTTTGTTTGGCCGTAGTGTTTCTTTTTAGTGTGTTTTTAAAGAACACAAATAAGGACGGTAGATAGCAGTGCCCACACACACACTGATTGACTGGTTTCAACATGGAACTTTGCACCGATGTGCAGCAGTTCGAATCGCCATACTCCCTCCATGTAGCACACAAATCAAGAGAAGAAAGTAAGAAGAAATGCATAATAGAGACAGTAGACAGGGATATGAGACAAAAGGAATAGTAGTAACGAAGAACAATATAGTTCCACTGGAAATTATAAGTAACAAGGAGTGGATGCATCTGCACCAGCCATCACTGGGAACGATTTTGAGCCATATCACCGATTGCCTCCAGCTGACCCCAACCAGGAAGTCTACATTTTCCTACGTGGTTTAAACTAACTGTTGTGGATTTCATTGAATGATGAAACCATGTTTTGCTTTGAACACCACTGCCTCCTTTCCAACCTGACCCTATATCAGCTAACATTGCCCGTCAGTCGAACAAGGCGATGGCTAGGTGAGACATGCGTAACACATGTCCAAACCTTCTCAGTCGACGTAGCTTCACAGCCTCGTCTATTGATTTCCCCTCCCAACTACCTAGCACTCGATGCCTAACCTTAATATTGCTCACTTCACACGGGCTATGTGTTCACATACAGCTACCTACTGAGCATTGTCAATAGGGCAAACATTTAAAGCGCGATTATGTGATGCACCAAGTAAATTTCAAACTAGATTACCACTCGATGACATATTAGTCTGAACTCTATTATCTGGAACACATCTATTATACACACCAGGCTATGCCATGAACCACACTTATTATGTGACAGTTGATGACAGCACACAGTAGTTGCCCAAAATGAGGTAGGCGAGGGGGGAGGAGCAGCATTCGAACCTGGGACCCGTTGGAGTTAAAAACCAAGCAAGCTACTTCGCCATATTTGTACACATAGACAAAACAAAACAAGATGAGAGTATCTGGTGTAGTTCAGCTTTACTTACCCAACTAGCTTGTTCTCTTTCCTCTAAACGTTGTTTAAGTTCTTGTTCTGCTGTACGCTGACGGGATAAACGTTCACGACGCGCCTCTTCCACCTCTAAACGTGAATGACGAGCAAGATACGCTGCATCTGATATGTCTTCATCTAAGGCATCAATTGATTTACCGTGTTCCGCCGTTTGTGAACGAGATTTCTGTGTCTGTGAAGAAGATCCAGAACGATTGGTACTTGTTGTTGTTGTTGCTCCTGTTAGTTGATTGGGTCGTTGAGGTCGAAGATTATGAGATTTAAGATTATCGGAATCCGTCAACTTATTTGTAGATTGTGGCTTTCTAGGAGTGGATTTCAAAGAATGTTGTCTTGTTTCACAAGAACAATCTATTGCATTTTCAATCACCGGGATTGGGATGATACGCCAACTTGGAACTACAAAAATAGATGTAATTAATTGGAATTTATAATGATAATAATAATTTGCTTTATTCCAAAACAGTAATTATGATACAGTATGGAAATAAATGTATTAAAAAAGCGTAAAATGATAAAGACAATAATAATATTAGTTACCAAAATTATAAGACAACTGGAAGTATTGGTTTTGTAGGGATTTTGTTTGATTGCATGGAGGATTTCACCATGAGCTGACAGCAGTTAGGGAACCACTGGAAAACCTAGGAGTAATGGACAGCTGTTACGTCAGTCTAGTTTGGGACTCTTCAGCAGCACGCTCGCAGACCATTGAGCCACTGGGACCCGATCCAATGGTCCTTGAATTCTAACAGCAGGTTCAGGATGAGGCAGTCACTCATCGAAGAAGACATTGCGAAATGTCGTGAATTGGCAGAAGTTAGAATTCATGAACCATCGGATCGGGTCCCAGTGGCTCAATGGTCTGCGAGCTCGCTAGCCGTGTAACCAGAAGGTCCTGGGTTCGAACCCCGGTGGGTGCGTACTAATGAAGAGTTCCAAGCTAGGACGAAACAGTTGGCTGTCCAGTACTCTCAGGTTTTCCAGTGGTTCTCTAACTGGAAGTGTTGTGACGTGTGCTACTGATAAGATTTAGCAGTAATATATAAACAGACGTTCATCGGCATGAAAATAATATCAAATAGCAGGAAGATAGATAGATTTGATTTCAGAGAAAGCAAATGATACAGAGTTGCGGAGATACATGGGAGACAAAGAAAGACAATATGAAGGCCAGAAGTAGCAGGTACAACATGGACGATCTGTGCAAATGGTGATTTGAAGATAAGGCGTACATAATTTCGCTGTACAGAGTTACCAAGTTGCAAATAAACATTCTTTTGCCGAGCCTTTCGTCTTCTATCGTTACAGTGTCACTATAAATTACGAATATGAGAAGATCAAACGAAGAACCACTTATTTTGCTAATTGCATAGTAAGTTAGTTCTAAGTTTCACACTTAACACTTTCCCCCATCACATAGAATGAGGGCCAAATAGGGTATCGTTGAGTTTTTGTACTTAATTGTGCGACTATATAATCTTTTATATTGACTTTTAACCCTACCTGATGAGATGCAAAGGAAGGACTTGTGAGTAAAGAGGGTACTGAGAGTCAGAGTAACTACAATAGTAACGAGCAGAATTACTGGCACACACACACACTATTTACCCTACTGACAACCTTTAATACCTTGCGCAATATGACAGTCCTTTTTGAGTAGCTCACGAAAGACTAAGGGGGAGAGCAGTAAAGTACAATAGGTCAGATACAAGAGTTAACAGATTGTAAAAGCAGAGGTTGAGTGATTTCTGATTGTTCTCGCTAGACGGAACATTTTTTCTAGAAATAGACAAGATACGGGATGACCAAGAAAGGTCAGACGGGTGAACTATTCCAAGATATTTTAAGGCTGACTTAGTTTCTATTTCAGTACCCTCGATGCCAGAAGCATTTTATGAAAGGGCCAATTCTTGTAGATCACGTCTGTGCCTGAAGGTGAAGTTGACTGTCTTACATTTGGAGGAATTTAACATAAGACCATTGGGTTTAGACCACTGGGCTTATGTCTGACAAAAAGCTATTCAATTTGGAACAGTCAGATCAGGAAGTAACCGACAACGAGTAATTGTTTTGGCGTATATTTTGCATACATACCTGAATATAGTTTCTTTTATTCCTACAGTTCAAGATGAATTTCACGGAAACATAACAGTAATCCCAAAAGGGAAACAGACTACAAGCAAGCATAGGTTTGTAGTAACTGTAAACGAATAATTTATACTTCTCCGTGCTATAAGAAAGAATCTCAAGTTTATTAACTTCATTCAACAGCTGGCTGGCTATATGACAATGCCTGCCACGTGTCAGGTGATCCACAACGTAAAACTCATCGAAGCGTCTGAAGTGAAGACAGGAGTAAGACAAGCCTGCCTGACTATTATCACCGATGATATTCCTAATTGTGGTGAACTGGATTATGCGTCAGGCTATGGGAAATGACAAGACAGGAATACGCTGCACTCACCGATAGGAAAACTCTAGGAGATCTGAATTTCGCAGATGATTTATGCTTGATGTCACATAAACTCGAAGACTTGCAGGCAGCGAAGACATGACTCCAGGTGAACATAGAGAAGGTGGAGACGGAGGTGATGAAGATAACCACCAACCAACCGCAAGAACAAACAGCATCAATCAATATCAACGGAATAAGTTTGAAAGAGGTTATTTTCTTCACTTATCTAGGATGCATCGTTTCAACTACAGCTGGTATAACGAATGAAGATGTCAGAGCAGGCCAGAAAGGATCAGAAAGGCAAGATACACCTTCATTAACCTGAAACCAATTTGGAAATCTGCTGCACTCCGCAGCATAAAGAACAAAATTAGGGTTCTTAACACCAGTATTAAGTCACTTCTTCCACATGGGTCAGAAACATGGCCAGCTTGTCACGAAAAGGATTTCCAGCAGGCTAATGTAGACTTTTATCGACAGCTGCCCTCTTCACTGTCTCCGTACTGAAGATCGAATGGCAGGCCAAAAGAATTAGCAACGAGAAACTCTGGCAACAAACCAACGAAGACACGATTGCTCAACAAATATGTAGGAGAAAATGGAGATGGATTGATCGGGCATACGTTGAGGAAACCATCGAATGATATCACGCCATCGCCAGGCCATTGGTCGAGTGGAATTCTAACGGGAAGCAACGAGTAGGTCGTCTGAGGGTCACAAGGAGATCATGTGGGGAGGAGATGAGACATTATGGGCAATCATGGATGCAGCTAAAGAGGGCCGAAAGTAGAACTAAGTGGAGATGTGTTGTTGAAGCCTTATGTTCCACTCGGAACCCAATAATAATAGTTAATTTCTTAGAGATTCGCGCACTCACAAAATTCATTACTTACTTTGTTCCTCCCTTACGTTCCCAGTGGAATATAAGGCTACAAAACTAGAGCTTTGAATTTTTAGTAGTCGAGATGTTAATTTTCACAGTGGATGAGGTTGCTAGTCTCGTGCCCAACCTTCGCCGTCTTTTTTAGTCCTACCTACAGGCTTAGCGAGGTCTAAGAGTGCATCGGCCGGGAATCAAAACCCCTGACCACGTGCAAGGTCTAAGAAAAAATGCATTTCGACGAAATTTAATTATCTCTGGAATTCAAGTTTCCTCCTTCTAAATATGAACATCAGTCGGACAGACATACAGATACAATTCAAACACTTATTTCATCAGTTTATACTGAAATCCTGAAACCAATCAAATGATCGCAAAGCAATACTTGAATATCAATCTGATGCTCACCAGTGACTGACCCTATTCAGGTAGGCAGTTACCTGGGGTTCTAGTGAGAACTCGTGACCAGTAGGTTACACAGCAGATCGGGTGTGAGGACAAATACTCGCCAGCGATGACATTCGCTAGTGCCAGTTGCATGCACTATATCGTGCGTGAATTGGCAAAGTTGGAATTCATGAACTTTTGGATCGGGTCCGAGTGACTTAATGGTCTACGAGCTCGCTAGCCTTGTAACTGGAAGGTTCGAACCTCAGTGGATGCATACTGTTGAAGAGTCCCAAACTAGGACGAAACAGTTGGCTGTCCAGTACTCCCTGCAGGTTTTGCAATAGTCCTCTAACCAATGCCAGTTCACGACGAAATCCTGAAACTTATATCATCAACTTCCTGACAAAAAAACCTGTGGTTGAAGACAAAAGAGACAAAAATGTAATCAACGAATTCTCATTCTACTCTAGATACATGGATGATACGCTTATCTTGCATAAGAATAAAATCGATACCGTGGTCTTTCTTAAAACGCGTTCAAGTATGGCTCACGTACATCTACGGAACAGAAAAAGACAATACACTTTATCATTTCTTGATGTTCTTCTGACAAGAAAGCAAGATGGTATTAAGTGGGGTACTTTCCAAGACCAATACACCCCATTTCAGGCTGTTTGTTCCTTTTGCGCACGGGGGAAGTCTCATCAGTACCCTGACGTGTCGTGCTAGAAAAATCTGCACAACCGACACTCTCTTAACGATGAAAAATAAGGAAAGTAGAAAACGTATTATATATCAGAAACGATATCTAGAAAAGTTTCTATGATGAGAACCGATAGAGAGAAACACCTCCAAACTGTACAGAAGAAAAGTACACACATGACTATACCGTTCAGAGGAGATGTAGGCACTGAATTACTGGCATCGACACTCCGTAAAATATTAGCTGCAACATCTTTCGCCGTATTACACTTTGCCTAAAATCCACCACTCGTTGTATAATTCCAATACAGGTGGAACATAAACTACACAGTCTGGTCATCGCAATGTGCATTGACAAATCTAACTGTTCTTGTGGAAACAGTTACATAGGTGGAACGACTCGGAAAATCCACCGTCGTCCTCTTGAGCACTGTCCGACATGGTTAGACACAAAGGAGTCAAGAAGTCAATCAGGAGCTCCCCACTGGCACATCATATGGGTACGGATCACAAGACTGATGAGAATTCCGCCTTTAAAATTCTATACAAGGTACCACAACACCTCAATTCCCTCAGTTTTTACACCTTCAACTTCTAAGCCTAAGTGAGGTAGTTGCCATAGATATTTTTTTCAATCCAGTTTCTGTGTTCAGGAGAAAAGTTTGTTCAATCTCTCTCCCTTCCTTCGGCCTTCACCCGCAAACTAGAACAGTCATCCCGGGTGACACCACCATATAACTGTAAATCTAATAAACGAATTAATATGGAATTTCATTTTGATTTTGATATGTACTGCAAATTTACTATCAGCATTATGCTGTGCGCATATTAGTATATTGATTTATTATTATTCTACTAACATTCTTTGAATGCTTATGACTGATATTGTAAAATAACTCAAACAGTTTATTTAAAAAAGACATCGACATGGTTGTGTAGTTTACCCAAAATCCATAAGTCTAATGTACA